TCGGGTACATGAGTCAACGGAGGTTACACGAGGAGGTTGGACGAAAGAACACGAAAGGACGAAAGACTCGAAGGGTCGCAACCTCCGATTGCGACTGACCGTTACAACTGCAAGGGTGGTAACCGAACCGATCATCGAGTCGATGTGCGACTCGATAACCGTTCTTTCAACTGTATTCCACAATTGCTTTACTTTCCTATTTTCTATATATTGCTGTATGCTTGTTTCTTTTAAATCAATCACTTGCTCTCACATACTAAATGACTCACCAACAACAACAAAGATACCAGTCAGACGGGGCACTGGAATACCAGTCACAACGATTCAGGAACTACTTGGGAGAAAGAGGCATCAGACGCTTGGTGTCCCTGCCCTACGCTCACCAACAGCAGGGGGTCGCAGAGAGGATGAACCGGACCTTGCAGACGACGATGCGAAAGCTGCTCCTGGGGATGAGACTGCCCAACACACTGTAGCCAGACACGATGACGCATGCAATCCACCTGCACAACTTGTTGTCCTCGTCATCACTTCCCAACAACGCATCACCGCACCTGCTGTGGACACGAAAAACGGGCAGCACAAAATTAATTCGACTCTTTGGCTGCATGGTACAGTACAGACCCCACACAGCTCGAGCAAGACGATTCTCTCAATGAGCACGGTGGGGACTACACCTCGGGATCGCAAAACATTTCCAAGCATGGAAACTCCTCGACATACAAGACAAAAATACAGTGGCCTCACGTGATGTGATTTTCTACGAGCGACTGATGCTGCAGCATTAACTGGACAATGTCGCCAACACGGAGGACCCCACCGACGGCTTCAAGGGCCTTCGGTCCTTCGTCGACTGGGCTGCCGAAGCTGACGCAGCAGAAGAAGACGTACCTGAAGCCTCGGAAACTGCCAGACCACTCCCTTACTGCTCCGTGCCTGTTCCACTCGACGACGACACTCCTCTCGCTAGTAACAACCTGCAGAAACGAAGGGGAGTGTTGGAAATACCTCAAGGACTTAAGCGTTTCTGAAGTATGACACTGCACTCGAGTAAAGACGTATCGGGTACACGAGTCAACGGAGGTTACACGAGGAGGTTGGACGAAAGAACACGAAAGGACGAAAGACTCGAAGGGTCGCAACCTCCAGTTGCGACTGACCGTTACAACTGCAAGGGTGGTAACCGAACCGATCATCGAGTCGATGTGCGACTCGATAACCGTTCTTTCAACTGTATTCCACAATTGCTTTACTTTCCTATTTTCTATATATTGCTGTATGCTTGTTTCTTTTAAATCAATCACTTGCTCTCACATACTAAATGACTCACCAACAACAACAAAGATACCAGTCAGACGGGGCACTGAAATACCAGTCACAACGATTCAGGAACTACTTGGGAGAAAGAGGCATCAGACGCTTGGTGTCCCTGCCCTACGCTCACCAACAGCAGGGGGTCGCAGAGAGGATGAACCGGACCTTGCAGACGACGATGCGAAAGCTGCTCCTGGGGATGAGACTGCCCAACACACTGTAGCCAGACACGATGACGCATGCAATCCACCTGCACAACTTGTTGTCCTCGTCATCACTTCCCAACAACGCATCACCGCACCTGCTGTCGACACGAAAAAGGGGCAGCACAAAATTACTTCGAGTTTTCGGCTGCATGGTACAGTACAGACCCCACACAGCTCGAGCAGGACGCTTCACTCAACGAGCACGGTGGGGACTACACCTCGGGATCATAAAACATTTCCAAGCATGGAAACTCCTCGACATACAAGACAAAAATATAGTGGCATCACGTGATGTGATTTTCTACGAGCGACTGACGCTGCAGCATTACCTGGACAACGTCGCCAACACAGACGACCCCACCGACGGCTTCGCGGGCCTTCGCTCCTTCGCCGATCGTGCTGCCGAAGCTGACGCAGCAGAAGAAGACGTACCTGAAGCCTCGGAAACTGCCGGACCACTCCCTAACTGCTCCGTGCCTGTTCCCCTCAACGACGACAATCCTCTCGATAGTAAGAACCTCGACACCTATTATCACTTCGCTGACCAAGGTTACGTTACACCTCAACCAGTCGACACGAATGTCTCAGAACGCATCGGACCAAATTTCTTACCTGATCCCGAAGACGGCGACGAAGCAGCTTATCCCGGGAATGAAAATTCCCCTCGACACTCACCCACGGGCCTGCAGATACTTGGATTATGGGTCTCCGTCCAGCACCCGCCACCGCCGTCTCCGCGCGAGCCAACTACTCTGTCGCGGGCTCTGGGGGGGGAACATAAGGCGAAATGGAAGGAGGCAATGGAAAAGAACTGAAAGCTCTGCAAGACCGAAACACGTGGAAGCTGGTACCTGCAACAAACATCAACAGGAAGAACGTACTCTCGGGGAAATGGGTGTACCGCATCAAGACCAATGCGGATGGCTTCATCGACCGCTTCAAAGCGCGCTGAGTCGTACGAGGATTCGACCAGCAATATGGAACTGACTACACTGAGACATTCGCCCCAGTCTCCCGACACACCTCCCCACGCATCGTGCTCGCTGTCGCGGCCACGAAAAAGCTACCACTACGCCAGATCGATGTCGCCAACGCCTTCCTGTACGCACCTGTGGACTCCGAAATCTTCGTCAAGCAGCCCCATGGATTCATCGACGATCCCACAAAGATATGCCAGCTGGTAAAATCCCTCTACGGAATCAAACAAGCCCCACGACTCTGGCAGCAACACCTTCACGGCCGCCTCGTCAGAATCGGCTTCCTGCAGCTGCCACACGACCAAGGAATGTACCGACTACAAAAGGGGGGGGACTTCGTCCTACTCATCATCTACGTCGATGATCTACTCTACGTCGGCTCCACTACCGACGTCGTCACCTGGTTCGAAGGGGAGCTGAAGAGCGAATTAACGCTGACGGTGTCAAACACCGTGAGCCAGTATCTAGGCCTGAACGACGTCGAAGACGACTTGGCGTTCTACGTACACACTGGAAAATACGCAGGCGTTGTCGCAAAGAAATTCTGACTAACGCCGACTGTAGTCGCGACTCCTTACCGCTACGGGAACAACAACGACACCTACGCAAAACTCCCCGCGAAGCAAATCCAGGAGTATCAGCAGAAGCTCGGCTGCTTACTATTCGCAGCAGTAACCTGCCGACCAAATCTATCTTACAGCGCGAGCCAACGAGCGACACATCTGAAGCAGCCGGAACAAGAGGATCTCGAGGAGCTAAATCGAACACTGCTCTACTTTGTCTCTACGCCAACGACCGGACTTACCTACAGTAAAACAACGACATCGTCCGTACAACTACTCGGATACGTCGACGCCGACCACGCAGGAGACAGGGAAAATCGACACTCAAGGACGGGCTACATCTACCGACTAGAGCCTATCGGGACTATCTCCTGGCAGTCCAGCAAACAAGAACTAATCGCGCTATCTTCGGCTGAAGCAGAATACATCGCCCTATGCACTGCGACCAAAGAAGGACTCTACCTGCGAGAGTTGCTCGAGGAAGCGAAAATCGCAAAATTGCCCGTCTTCTCGATATTCTGCGACAACCAATCCGCAATTAAAATCGCGAACAAGGACGGGTTCGCTAATCGAACCAAGCATATCGCCCTGCGATACTTCTTCGTCAAAGATGAAATCGCGAAAGGGAGACTTCAACTCAGTTACTGCCCCACGACAGAAATGGCCGCAGACTACCTGACGAAGAAACTGGCGAAGGCAAAGTTCGATTACTGCATGCTGCTGACCGGGCAGATAAACGGCACCGAATCTGGACACGTCAGCACTCCAGAAACGAAGGGGAGTGTTGGAAATACCTCAAGGACTTAAGCGTTTCTGAAGTATGACACTGCACTCGAGTAAAGACGTATCGGGTACATGAGTCAACGGAGGTTACACGAGGAGGTTGGACGAAAGAACACGAAAGGACGAAAGACTCGAAGGGTCGCAACCGGAGGTTGCGACTGACCATTACAACTGCAAGGGTGGTAACCGAATCAACCATCGAGTCGCTGTGTGACTCGATAACCGTTCCTTCAACTGTATTCTACAACTGCTTTACTTTCCTATTTTCTATATATTGTTGTATGCTTGTTTCCTTTAGTCAATCACTTGCTCTTACATACTAGTGCAAAGGCTTCAACTACTCAACTTCCGCTGCACTACTCAAGTATCTTGTACAACTGGGACTTGATCTCTGAAAGATCCTACGGGCTTTTCTCAGCCCAACATTCCGTTGCACTACTCAAGCATCCTTGTACAACTAGGGACTTAGTCTCTGAAAGATCATTTTTCTCAGCCCAACATACAACACAGTTCAATTCCAGTTCATAAACATAAAATTGTCATTCCATAGCCCTCGGGCGTTATACAAAAAGTGCCACTAATTACACCCCCACTAAATTTTGCATCAAATTTTTGTGCCACCCGTGGGTGTTTTATCCGAGGGAATGCGGTATATGTTATTGTGTACAAGATAAGGGCATGCCTTAGTGAGTACAACAATTTAGGTCAATACCACCATGCTCCCTGTTTTTCATTCATTCCGCTACTCTATGACTGCTCCCCTATCGGAACCTAGATGGGCAGAATCGTGGCTCTGATACAAGATGTTATGAAATATAACTCAAGAGTACAGCGCAAAATACTATAGGGGAGCTTGACTACAGAATTGTTCTCTAACAATGAAGACTCTAGGGCTTATATAGTGCTAGTTGACCAGATTGAACCTTGAGAGCTGGACCAGTCAAGGGCTCGGTAGTTCTGAGGGTGACAGGGTCAAATTGGGTTCGGGGCGTCTCGGTAACAAGTTCGGGGCTGAGTAGGTCGGCAGGGGTGGTTTGACGCGAGGTTTGAGGGCTGAGGCGGCGGACGCGAACTGTTCACGGTACTTGCTGTGGCAAAACCCAGTAAGTATTTGTAAAGTTCTTTCACTTCAACCTTATCAACTACACTTACCTTCCCGTTGGTTACATGGCTGGACTTAGCTGAACAATTCAGACACTTTTGAGACACTGACAGTAGAACATGTACGGCGAGCGCACAGGAATTCCAAAAATGCCACGAGCGCACAGCTGACATTATGTTGATGACCAGGAGCCAGACGAGAACTATTCTGTATAAACAAATTGACGCTTCCAAATGTGGTCTCTCCTCTTGTTCCAGATTTTTGGGAGATACAGCTTGTCCGAGGGTGATCTATCAGGCTTCATGATCTGTCATTGTGGGAAAACGCCAGGCACAAAATTAAGAACATGTCAGGTTGCAATGCCATTTCCACTGTGCAAGAGACGAATAGGTGACAAAAAAAAGGCCAAGAACCTCACCAGCTTGCAATACTCAAACAGTCCGAAGAACACAGCAGACATCAGTGACACATGGAAGACACGAGGACCCTGCACAGAAAAGAGAATTGTCAGCTTATCCATTGGCGTGGAGAGTAATGAAGTCAAGCATACATACTGCTTACTTACCAGTCCTGCCAAAAGTCCAGCTGGCCCACTCTCAGCCATTACAGCGAGTACAATCTTGTGAATTCCTTGTGAAACACCACACTGTTGCCGGGTCTTCACAAGGTCAAGCTGCAGCACCCCAACCAAGCATAAACATAAGTTCCACCACTCACAAAAATATGGATCCATACAGCCAAATCCAGCAACTTACAGGCATAGTGCATGTTGCGGCAGCTGCTCCTGCGGCTGCTCCAAGCAACAGGTGCTCTGGGGTTCTGAAAAAAAAGGAAAATTAGGGTGAGCATGTAGCAAGACACAAAAGACGTTGCACGGAGTCACAGGCAGGAAATAGATACTCACGTCAGCTTCTCAACCTTCCTCTTCTCCTTCACGAAGGCCCGAAGATTCTCATAGACAGCAAACTGCACATGAACAATCAGAAAAGAGATGTAATACTCATACAAGGTACAGATCAAGACACTTAGAAAGGCTAGTTTTCCTATTCAAGAGCGACAAGGTACCTGAATGGCGATCTCTGGAACGTCTCTCATCAGAGTGGGCCAAAAGCCTCTGTAGAGACCAGCTATCCCCTCAGTCTGGAGGACGACCTTGAGGGCCTCAAACACTGAGCATGGTGAAAGAGAGTGATGATCGGAACATGTGAAGCACCACTGGTGGAGACTAGGAAAATTTACGTGAAGAAGGCATGACGTGTTACGTCAGAAGGCAGATCGGGATTAGTTATCTCACCATCGCGATGCATGTAGGCTTGTACTCTGTGCTTCAGCGTGTCAGCAGGAACCTGCAACAGTCAGCTTCGCGTTAGTCGAGTCAGGGATTTCTGCATAGGACCTTCTGTGAAGAAACAGGCCCAACTCAAACAAAAACACTCGTTACGCGTGGGAAAGCGGAGTCAGGTTTCATATCTCACCCGAACAATCGATGCGGCGACCGTGCCAACTGTGGCAGAAGCTACGTGCACCGGTCCCGGCGGAAGTTTATTTTCCAGCTTTTTCTTGGTGGCTGTAGACACAATACGCAGCTTCTGTTAGAACGCTTATACACCATACACAATACAAAGATAAACCATAACGTGGAGTGATGATCACTGACCTTCGTACGCGATGAAGTAAAGCATTGCGTTTGGGATTGTGCCCAGAATAGCACCCCACACTCCACGGAAAAGATCGGACGGGCCCTTGAAGAACCAATTATCAATGTCGATTGGCCCAACTTCAAACGCCTTCTTCACTACCTTACGTCTCCATTTCCGTAGTTTTTTCGTGGGATCCTTTACTTGCATTCTGGTCTTAACTGTGTCAATTGGATGACATAGGACCTAGAAGGAACACAATTTCAAAAGCAACCTGTAAGAACGACATGGCATGAATTAAAACCTTACACTTAAACCAAGTTGTGCACGCACCTGGGACAACGTCCGAGCCATCGTCCCAGCGTAGACATGGTTTAGAGCTGTGATTGCTCCAAACGGATCGTCGTCGAAGAATGGAAGCTTGAAGAGCGGAAGACCTGGGAGCTGGATCTTCGAAATGGCCTGTTGGACGCTTTCTCCCACGACGCGCAGGCGGAGAGCCAACTGATTCTGGTCCAACTCTGGCTCTAGCACTCGAGCTTTTATTGAAGCGAAGGAAATCTTAGCCTGCCTGGTGTTTGATGCTACCGGCAATGAACGACGGTGAGGTGACGGACACGAGAAGGAAACTTTTGACAGCTCTGCACGCTCGTGTACGACAAGACTTCTATCGGACCCGCCATAATCGTCGGGCGTTGACACCATCACTGGATGCTACGTCCGCTAATGACCGAAATAGGAGAATTACGAGCCAGCAAAAACAGCTGACAACGTTGCACGGCGATCAGAGCGGTGAAAACATCATTCCATAATCTAGAACCACCCGTCGTCTCACCCTTTATACAGAACACGAGCCAAGACAGGCACGAAAACCAGATAAACTACTGCTGGAATGCCTGAGGTAAGAGGTTCTACGCACCCCTGCATAAGATAGCAAGCCCTGGCAATCTATGGAGAATACAGTTGGACAAGAACGAGGCCAGGAATGGGAGGGTATGGCATATGGGAGGTAAGGGAAGGGAGGCATGGAGGAGGGATGGTGCCGCCGGTTAGTCGACAGATGAGATGAACCGTGCTTTGGAATGGTGGTGTGGTGTGGTGGCGTGCGAAACACAATGGCTACAATCCGGTCAGACATGGGGAATGGGAACTGAAAAAGGCAGTCGCACTATTCCTGATTCAGGAATTTTCTATGTGTGCTTCGGAGTTGCCTGTTGGACGTGCGTTGGCCGCGTGTTCAGCTAAACGTCCGTCGTGGCAGGAGCTACTTTCGCTGCAGCTCAAACAAAAGGCTTGGCTCTCGCTTGAGCTGGCCAGATTCGAATCACAAGATTCCGCCGCATCCTGCACCTCTGCTTTTCCCCACCTCTCTGGAGATCCAGAGATTCCCGGGGACGGAGTGTACGATAAACTGGATCGCGGATGTATATAAAAAATAAAACTGTAGCCGGCTGAATTAGCATCAAACCAAGGTGACTCTATGCTACGGATGAAGGCGTCGTTGCTAGCACGTGGCAATCTTAAGTGGCCGAACGTTTTCGTGAGTGATTTACTGGTGGGAGTTTTTTACTGCGGAGTAACATTGCTTCATTTGGAAAGCCCGCTGTTGTTCTCGTCCTCTATTGCACCGTGTGACATTTGGTGTTTGCAAGGGATATGGAGTTAGAGAGGGACTCCGAAAGAACAGCTCACTCCTGCAGCAACATTATAGCATCTGCCTGTTGTGCATTGGTCACTGCAAGATGTAAACAGTACTGAATGTGGAAGGAGTCTGTCGATTCAATCGTAGAGGCCCTCCTGCTCCCACACCTGGATGAGGAATCGAACCATCTCCTGCTCAGATGCAACAGAGAGCAATAGATACTAAGACCCTTGGACGAGAGCAGACGAGAGAGCGAGAGAGTGGGAGTGGAAGAGTGAGAGTGGGTGCATACCATGCATGGACGCAGTTGTGCAACATAAAGAGAAAACTCTGGATGGGGGGGACACGGATGAGCGCGTGGGAGCTTTGGATGATGGGAATGGGCTTACAGGGAGGGGAATGGGCTGGGGGAAGGGGCGGCTGGTTGAGAGCAGATCCTCATACGTGCTGCCTGGCCTGATGGTGGCACATAGGGAGAGGGAGGGAAGGGTGAGGGGGGAGACGGCAGGGAGTGAGGGCAGAGAGGAGAGGACGAGATTGGGAAGGATATGTGGCTGCCCAGACCGCTGCCCACACCTGAAGCCAACTCAACACCTTTGGCCATCACCTGCGGCCAAGGCATGTAACCAAGGTATGCAGCCAAGATATGCAGCCAAGATATGCAGCCAAGGTATGCAGCCAAGACATGCAGCCAAGACATGCAGCCAAGACATGCAGCCAAGACATGCAGCCAAGACATGCAGCCAAGACATGCAGCCAAGACATGCAGCCAAGACATGCAGCCAAGACATGCAGCCAAGACATGCAGCCAAGACATGCAGCCAAGACATGCAGCCAAGACATGCAGCCAAGACATGCAGCCAAGACATGCAGCCAAGACATGCAGCCAAGACATGCAGCCAAGGTATGCAGCCAAGACATGCAGCCAAGACATGCAGCCAAGACATGCAGCCAAGACATGCAGCCAAGACATGCAGCCAAGACATGCAGCCAAGACATGCAGCCAAGACATGCAGCCAAGACATGCAGCCAAGACATGCAGCCAAGACATGCAGCCAAGACATGCAGCCAAGACATGCAGCCAAGACATGCAGCCAAGACATGCAGCCAAGACATGCAGCCAAGACATGCAGCCAAGACATGCAGCCAAGACATGCAGCCAAGACATGCAGCCAAGACATGCAGCCAAGACATGCAGCCAAGACATGCAGCCAAGACATGCAGCCAAGACCTGCGTCTCACTGCTCTCTACTCATCGGCGGCACAGCCCTTCCCATCTCACTTAATCACAGTGCCAGTATTCCTCGGCCTGTCGCCGCCATCACTCCGCTCCTGAAGCCCCTGCTTATCATCCCTTGCTGCACTAGATGCCCCTCCTCCCCTCCCCACTGCCCCTACTCCCTCTCCTCGCACTCCTCCCACTCCTCCTGCCCGTTCCGGTTTCCCTCCCCCGCCCCTCATCCCCTCCCCTGCCAGCCACTGTCGCCGCCGCTCCGTCCACACCCTGAGCCCTGAGTGTCACATGCAGAGCCGGGGAAAAGAGGGTGGATAGGTTATGCTTGGATCGGAAACAGACTGCAAGGAAAGTCCTTTGTGGGGTTCAGAAGGCAGGTGGACGTGAGGGTTGGGAGGAAGGCAGGTGGACGTCAGCAAGTGGTGCCTTCAAGGTAAGCGGAGGAAAGAAAAACGTCAAGGTTATACAGGAAAATCTATGCTAGAAAAATCAGACTGGAAAAACCAGTCTGGGAAAATCAGACTGGAAAAATCAGACTGGAAAAAGCAGACTGGAAAAATCAGACTGAAAAAATCAGACTGGGAAAATCAGACTGGAAAAATCAGACTGGAAAAATCAGACTGGAAAAATCAGACTGGAAAAATCAGACTGGAAAAACCAGACTGGAAAAATCAGACTGGAAAGGGCTAAAGTAGTGGAAAGCAGAGGTGCAGGTCAGAGGGGTGGAGGGAGGAGGTAAAAGGGAGGGGGGAGGGAGGGTGGAGCAATGATATGCAAGAGCATGGAGTATGGAACAGCAGAGGTACCTCTATTGACAAAAGCATCACTGCTTGCTGCGTTGGCCCTTGCGTAGCTCCCTGCACCCCCCCCTGCACCGGCCCCACTCCCTGCAGTCAGACCGTCGTCTGTCCTTGAGCCACCAGAGTCAAACGGACGAGGCCGTGTTTGAGTGCCAGACACCGCTTTGGGAACATCCCTTGGAGCACTTGGAGGACCGGCAACGTCAGGAGCAGCAGCACGAGGAACAACAGTCCCCGTCACTGTCCCTCCCCCTGCCCCTGTTTTAACCCTGCCCTCTTGCCTGCCTCTTTCTCCTCCCCCATTCTCTCCGCTCGCTCTCCCAGGAACTGGTGTTGTTGTTCCCACGGCTCCAATCCTGCCTTGGCTTCTCGCCTCCTGCTTCAACGCTGCTCCTGCAGCAGCGACTGCAGCAGCCGCAGCAGCAGCAGCAACAGTGGGCGTAGGGGGACAAAAGGACGCTGTTGAACGAGTAGATGGAAGGGGAGGAGGGGGAGGAGGAGGAGGAGGAGGAGGAGGAGGAGGAGGAGGAGGAGGAGGAGGAGGAGGAGGAGGAGGAGGAGGAGGAGGAGGAGGAGGAGGAGGAGGAGGAGGAGGAGGAGGAGGAGGAGGAGGAGGGGGAGAGGACTGAGAAGGAGCAGATGGTCCTGGCGTTGATCCGCCTGCTGGTGCTCGGCCTACGTCTCGTTGCCATGCACTTCCCTTGGCCTTTGCTCCTCCTCCTCCTCCTCCTCCTCCTCCTCCTCCTTCTAATCCTCCGCCTCCTGACGGTGCCCTGTTCACTTGCCCTTGCCCTTGCCCCTGCCCCTGCCCCTGCCCTTGCCACACCTCTCTCGGTGCATCTCTCCTTGCTCTCCCTGCCCCTTCTGCTCCACTGCTTCCCCCCCCTCCCATCTTCCCCGTCCCCCTTCTCTCATCGCTTGCACTCCCACTCCTTGCGCCCTTCTCCACTCCCCTATTCTCCCCCTCTCTCCCCCCCTCCTTCTCCCCCTCCCTCTCCCCCTCCTTTCCCCCCCCTTCTCTCCCGTCAAACCTGCCCGTCCCTTTCCCTACGGAACCAGGACCCCGACCTTCCTCTGTCGCTGCCCGAACAAGCAAACCTGCCCGACGGTCTGCCCGGAAAATCGCACCCGGCCGAAGCGGGAGTGTTACAGCTACCCGTGAGTCAGCCCTGTGCGTCCCCCCTGCAAAGCAACGCGCATTGCTCTTCTCTCGCACGCGCACGCGCACGCACGCGCCCGCGCTGACTCTCGTGCTTACGCCCCCCCCGCTGATATTCCCGCTCATGCTCCCGCTAGCGCCTGATGCGCTAATTGCTGCGCCCATAGCCGTGCTCGGACTCGCGCTGATACCCGCGCTCATGCCTGCGCTCGAATTCGTCCGCATGCCTGCGCTGCTGCAGCGGATCTCCGCCGAAGTTCCGCTGAAACGGGAAAGCGGGTGGCGGAATGGCGGGTGAAGGAAAACGAGGGCGTTGCACGCGGCGAGAAGACATGTTTGCACGCAGGGAGCAGGAGCATCTTCAAACCGTGACGTGTTTGCATGTAGACATGTTTGCAGCCCGTGCTCACCTGAACGATGTCCCGTAACCGAGCGCGTCTGCGACGAGGATGGATGGAGGAGACCGGCAGCAGGCGCGACGGAGATGCCCAGGTGAATATTCAGGTGAATGACGGGAAAATGTAATGATGCGCCAAGAGTACTTTCCCGCAGCCCCGCACTCACCTGAATGACGACGTGTAGCCGAGCGCGTTCGCGACGACAAGCGATCCGCAGAGGGCCATGCTCCTTGGGGCGGGCTGAAGGAGGCGCCAACCAGCCGGCCAGCCCGCAGTGCGCGCGGTTGACGCGACCAGCTGAGGGCGTGTAACGAATGATACTATCCCGATGATGTGGTCCGACGTCGCAGAGTGTTACAGTGCGTTACAGCACGGTTTGAAGAGGTACAATATGGCAGAATGCGGTGTCGTGGTTTACAGCTACTTGATACTTGTGGTGCAACGGTCAAAAGCTTCGAATTCGGTGAGTGGCTGTTTGGCGGGAAACAGTGGCAAGGGGAAACGATTGAAGAGGATCTCGCGGCGACTTACAGCACATAGCTGATTCTAGTGTACTTCAACAGCGGAAACGATTACTTGCAACATAGTGAAGCACAAATTACAAGAAGTCAAACAACCACCAGAGCTTACACAATTCTCATAACCTAGTACAAAATAGTGCATTATCGTTCTCACATGCCACACACCTAGATCGGAGCAGCAAAAGAAGTAAAACTGCGCAGACCACCTTAGCGAGCAAAGTTTCATCTAGCTACCAATGTTGTCTAAAAACTGCGCTTCATGGCACATCCATAGCACGGGGATAACCCCATCTCACATATTCTCTACACGCATATTCTCTACACGCATTGGATCCAAAACAAGCATCCATCCCACATGCCCATCCAGCCACAAATATGCCCACAAGCACAAACCCACAAGCACACATCAAACGCCCTTCAACATCCATCCACCGGGCTGCCATCATGGAACAAAACCTACATGGTCCTAGGAAAACACCTCTCTCTCACTCCCTATCCCTAAAGCCCTCACTGGTATCAGAGCGCGCATGCTGCTGCTGTGTATGTCAGTGGGAGGGCAACCACCAGAGCACACGAACGAACCCCTACACATGGACACTCCACAAAAAGCTCCCCTCTCACTCCCTTTCCCGGAAGTCATCGCTGGTATCAGAGCGCATGCTGCTGTGCGCGTCGGTGGCAGGTGAGGGCGGCCACCAGCGCTTGGGCAGGTTGCGCGGCGACTCGTGGGGAGACGGGCCCTCTGAGCGCGTGGCAGAGTTGCGCATGGTCCACTTCTTGAAGCCTGGATGGAAGACGAGGAGGGAGAGAGAGGGAGAGGGTGCGTGCTGGTCTAATAAACACACGCTTCTCACTCCCTATCCCTGAAGTCCTCGCTGGTGTCCGAGAGTCTGCTGCTGTGCGTGTCAGTGGCAGGGGACGGCGGCCACCAGCGCTTGGGTAGATTGCGTGGCGACTCGTGAGGGGATGGACCCTCTGAGCGCGTGGCTGAGTTGCGCATGGTCCACTTCTTGAAGGCTGGGTGGGGGAAGAGGGGGGAGAGAGGGAGAGGGTGTGTGTTTGTGGGGGGAGAGGGGGAGAGCGAGAAAAAGAGACATCTGAGTGAAATTCATCTGAGTGCGTGGCTGAGTTGCGCATGGTCAAATTCATGAGGAAGAGGGGTGGGGTGAAGGACCGGGAAGTGGGGTCAGAGTGAATAGAGGAGCGAGGGAGGGTGGGAAGGGAGAATGGAGGAAGAGATGGAGGGAAGGAGGGACGGAGACGAGGGAATGGGAATTGTGTGCAACCGCGCATGTGTGCAAGTTGTGTCACGCTTGGCCTACCACCCTTGGCCTTTCAACCTTGGCCTTCCAACCTTGGCCCGCTGAAGTCAAGAGGCATGAGAGGCACTCACCGCTGCCCTTGGCCTGCATCATGTACTCGCACACTCACGAGTGCGACCTGGAGAGAGCTTGCTTGTTCACCCCTTCCCGCTAGTACACGTGTCAGCCCTGTGCTACCTATCCCTCCCCCCCACTTCCCGTGCTACCCTCTCTCTTCTCAGCATCCTCAACTGCACCAGTAGAGAGTTACACAAGGCGCACTCACCGCTGCCCTTGGCCTGCTTGGCCTGCATGTACGCCAGCACTTGGCTGTGCGACATGGAGAGCGCGTTCAGGTCGCCCTCCACGCGCTGGATCTCCCCCTTCATGTCCCGGCACACGCCCAGCAGCCGCTGCTCCTCCTGGTGGGGTTTGTTTAAGAGGGGGGGAGGGAAGGGTGGAGGAGGAGGGGAGGAGGGGAGGAGGGGAGGAGGGGAGGAGGGGAGGAGGGGAGGAGGGGAGGATGAGGGGAGTGTTTTTAAGAGCCTGGATAGGCCACGCGCTGGATCTCCCCCCTTCATATCCCGGCGCACGTCCGACAGCCACTGCTCCTCCTGGGGGTTTCTGATTTTGGGGTTTAGGATTTGAGGGTTTGAAGGTTGAGGATTTTGAAGCTTGGGGTTTAGAAGCAGAAGGGAAGCAGTAGGGGGAAACGTCGAGAAAGGAGCTCGCTCGTTTGTATAGGGGGAGTCTGCCTGGACTGTCGTGGTCGAAGTGAGACACCAGTGCACTCTGCTCTGCACCAACTCCACATACAAACCCAGCGGTTGACCGCTCACTCTCGTTACAAAAATAATAGATTTGTTTATGCACCTCCACCGCAGCACACACCCACACAGGCACACGGACGCTTACGTACCCACACGCACGAACCCTGCCCACCCCCTCCCTGCCACCCCCCTCCCTGCCCATCCCCTCACCTCTTGGCAGGCAGCAATGGCTGTCTGGTTGCGCCCCTCGGCGTCCCTGAGCTGCCCCTCCAGCTTCCCCACCTCGCCCCTTACAGCCGCCAGCCCGCCCTGCAAGTCCTCCACGGCGCTCTTCATTTCCCCCCGCACGCCCGCCTGCTCCTCCCGTACCACCTCCTCCAGCTTCTCCACCAGCGCCCTCACGTCCGCCTGCAGCCGCGTCAACATCTTCTGGGCTGCGGCGAGTCGTTCCTCCTCCTGCCGCTTCAGCTCACGCTCCTGCTCGCCCTGCCGCTGCTGCAGGGCCGCCACGTCGCCCTGCAGGGCTGTGGTCTTCTCTGCATCGTTCCATTTCCGGAGCTCGTCCTCCACGGCTCGCTCCTCCGCCTTCTGCCTGTCGGCCACGACCTCGGCTTGGACCGCTTTGATTGCTGCGTCAGCTGCGTCGGCCCGCTTCCTCCCCTCTTCTGCAGCCACCTCCAGGGTATCCACCCGCTCGGTGATCACCTCTCGTTCCGCCGCGGCTGCTGCTGCCGATGACGCCACTGCGGCTGCGAGCTCCTTCTCGGTCCGTTCGATCGCTGCTGCTGCGTCCGCCGCGTGCTGCTCGCCTCTATTCGCCACATCTGCGACTTCATCCGCTATCTGGTTCACCCGTGCCGCCACCGCACTCACTGCCTCCTCACCGCCTGCCACCACTGCAGAAAGCTTGTTCTCCAGGGCAACAACCCTTAAAGCCTGCGCCTCCTCACCTTCCCTGAGCACTGACTTTATCTCGCCCACCTTCTCATGGAAATCGCTCTGCACTCCTTTAACCTCTGCTTGCACCGCTTCTGCTTTCATCCCAATCTGCTGCCGGGTCTCCTCAATCTTCTCCTCCAGACCTCCCGCTGTGGCTCGGAGGCTCGCCTCCAGCTCCTTCCGAGCCTCCCCAGCTTCGGTCTGGGCGGTGGTAACCTCCTTCCGAAGCTCCAGGATGTCGTTCTGAGCCTGCCCAATGCTGTCGGTGAGAGAAGACGTGAGGGAATCTGTCATCTCGGCTCGATGGCCTAGATTCTCCGCTTCCTCTCGAACCAGTGTCACCTCCTTTGTCACACCGGCTATTTCACTCTTGAATTCCCCTTGCAGGGATTGCAGTGCTTTGCGGGCAGATGTTTCCGCGTCCTTCAGAGTTGCCGTGGCTTTTTCCTCTGCCCGAACCATATCCACCCGGACCTCCTTCACCTCCTCCCGAACCTCCCCCAGACTCTCCCGAACCTTGTCCACTTCTGTCCGAACCGCTGACAGCATGTTTTGCCGAACCTCCTGGATCTCCTCTTCCGAAGCTGCTGTCTTTTGAGCCGTGGACTCCAGGCTCCGCTCCACCGAGCCTAGCTCCATCCGAAGCGAGTCCACATCCACTCGAACCTGCACAGAATCCTTCCGAACCAGACCCACGTCGTCTTGAATCGACCGAACCTGATCCTTGATCGAAGCAACCTCGTTGTCAGTGCAATCAGCACTTTCCTGGAAGGTGGAAATATCCTCCCGAGCCAAAGTCACCGTCTGCCGAACCTCCTCCAAGCCTGTCTCCAAGGCACTAATGCTCGCCCGAAGCTCCGTTTTCGCTCCCCGGAGCTCCTCCTGAAGCCCCTCGTGGGCCTCCCGAGCCTCCTCGCCCTGCTTCCAAACGTCCGCGAGCTTGGTTCGGATCTCCACAACCTCTTCCCTGCACTCGTGCAGACCATTCCTGAGCTTATCCACTTCACCCTTGCTCTCCTCCGCTTCCTTTTGCACCTCCAACACAGACGCCTGCACACTGTCCACCTTGCTCCTCAGCCTCCCTACCGTCTCCTCCGTCTCCTGCTGCAAGTTCCGAGCCTCCGCCATGGACACCCGGACCTCGACCACTGCGTCGGAAACGGGGCGCATGTCGTTCCGAACCTCGTCGACAGACTCGGAGAGATGCTTGACCATGGCTTTGACCCCTTTGACCTGTTCCTGAAATTCATCAACGGCAAGAGCACTTGCTGCTTTTTCCTTAGCTCTCTCCTCGGCCGTCTCCGCCTGCTGCTGCTTCGCACTCTCCTCTATCCTCTTCTCTATCTGCTCAAGCTTCTCCTCCTGCTCCCACATCTTTTCCTTCTGCTGCCCGAGCTCCACTTTCTGGGCAGCCGCAAAAGTCTCCACCGCAGTCACCTGAGCCCGGAGCTCCGTCAATTTCTCCCCCACCCTCTCCCTCTCTCCCTCCACCTTTTCCCTCAACTCCCTCACTTCCGCACACCTCGCTTCCTTCTCTTCCTCCACTAGTTTCCTCAGCTCGCTGACCGCCTCACCCCTCCCCTCCACATCGTCTTGCAGCGCTACCAGCTTAGCCTCCACAGAGCACACAGTACCATCCCGAGCCACGGCTCTAGCCTCGGTTTCCGCCACCCGTTCCTCCAGCTCGCTGAACCTCTCATCCAGCGCCCCAAACCTCCCATCCAGCGTACCGAGCCTCTCATCCAGCGTCCCGAACCTCTCGTCGAGCCGGTCTCCGAGCCTGTCTGCTGCTTCCTTAGCTGCTGACACATCAGCAGATACTGACTCCACAATCTCCTTGGACCATTCCTCCCGCACAGCTGCTAACTTCCTTGCAGCAGCGCTCTCTGCTGCGGCCACTGCTGCTGCGAGGGCTGCTTCTGCTGCAGCAGCTGCTGTTGCTGCAGCGGCTGCAGAGTCTGCAGCAGCAGATGACGATGATGCTGCTGCTGCTGCATGGTCCGCACCAGCAGCACCAGCAACACTGTCTGCTGTTGCTGCGGCTGCTGACTCTTGTTCTTGCTGCCTCTTCAGCGGGGCTCCTCCTGTCACATCCTCAACCACTACCTTCTCCTCCTCCCTCACCTCCTCCTCCTCTCCCCCACTCTCACTCACTGCTACCTTGCTAGTCACATCAGCAGCAGCTGCTGTCACAGCAGCAGGTGACGCAACAGCAGCAGTAGCAGTGGCCGCAGTTGCAGCAGCAGCAGCAGAGGCAGCAGCACCATCAGCAGCAGCCGCAGCAGCAACAGCAGCAGCAGCAGCCTCCCCTGCCGTCCCTTCCACAGCATTGATCTTCTCACTCACTTGCACAACCGCACTCTTCAAGCTGCCCACCAGTTCCTTCAGCTGCCCAATCTCCTCATCCAACGGCGAAAACTTTTCCACGAGGTGCCCGACACGGATCTGAACTTTTCCCAGGCTGCCCTCCACATCTCCAAGGTTCACTTGCAGCTCTTCCAGGTTCGTTTCAAGGGTAGTTACCCTCTCATTGGTCTTTCCGTTGCTCTCACTGTTCGCCTTTTGAGTAGATTCCACTGTTTCGGTAACAGTCTTGAGAATCTTGGCCTCTAAAGCGGCTTCTAGGGAGGTTTCCATAGCAAGCAGTTTGGTTTGGAGTTCTGACACTGAGGCGACCGCAGCTTCGGTAGCTGCCAGTCGGGCTTCCCTTCTCGCTTCCACCTCCTCCCTCTCCTTCTCCCTTTCCTTCTCTCTCTCCTCCCTCTCACTCTCACTCCCTCCTCCAGCGCCAGCACCACCTGCTTGCTGCTGCTGCTGTGTCTGCAGCAGGGATGCTTCTACAGCGGATACACGCGTTGAGTGGGTCTCGAAGGATGACTGGTAGTCTTCTAGCTGCTGCTCGAGAGTCTGGTTAGGTTGGGCGGAGGAAGAACAGCAGAGGGAGAAAAGAAGAGAGGCGGAATATAAGGTAGGTAGATGAGAGCGAGGAGAGGAAGAGAGCAAGAAGGTGTAGGGAGCGAGTGTGAAAGTGAGTGAGAGGGAAGGATGGGTAGGACGGAGGGAAGAAGTCGCTTCGACGTATTCTATAGCCTGAAGAGATAACAAGGAGAATAAGTAGGGAGAGAAAGTGAGACTGAGAGAGCATAGAGGGCAGATGATCGGGGGCGGGGGGGGCGGGGGGGCGATGGAAAAGGTGGTGAACAAGTCTCCATCAGCAACCAACCTTGAGTGAGACATTAGCGGCAGCAACAGCATCGCCGCATCGGCTCTCCACAAACAGCCGCAGCTCTTGCACGTGCCTTTGCAGCTCCTCCTGCCACGCCCCCCCCTGCACCCCGTGCGCCCCATGCGCGTCACCATTCGCCGCCGCTGCAGCAGCCTTGCCCGTGCCGCTCCCGGCGCTCTGCTGCTGCTGCTGCTGAAGCACGTCGACTAGCGCTTGGATGGACTGGGGGGGGAGAGGAGGGGAGAGGAGAGGGTGGGAGAGGTGGGAGAAGGGTGGGAGGAAAAGGGTTGGAGAGGAGAGGTTGGGGGAGGAAGTGGGGGGGCGAGAAAGGCATTGAAGGAATGAGCGATCGGAGTGTGCATGAGAAAAGGCTGGCAGAGTGTGCATGGGAGAGATGCATGGTGATGGGCGTGGCAGAGGACAACACTAGAGAGATAGGTAGGACGCGAGGAGCACAGGCAAGGGAAGGGTTGCAGAAGAGGAGTGCAAACGAGTGTGGGATGGTGTGTGCGTGTGTGAGTGAGAATACGCGTTTGTGTGAGTGTGAGAGCGTGCGTGGTGTGTGCGAGTGTGTGTACACATGTTTGCCTGTGAGTGTGTGTGTGTGAGTGTGCACGCACACACATGCGCATGCATGCACGCGACTGCAAAAGAATGCATAGTTTATATGCATATACACATGGGCACCACAAGACTAGACACAGGAAGTAAAACAAGCAGCGGCAGCAGCAGCAGCAGCAGCAGCATCGTGAATATACATGGGCTTCCATTGTTTTATGTGGGCAGCGCACCTTCACTTGGCCTGTCAGCGCAGCCACCTCCCCCTGCCTCTCCCCCAGCGCCTGCACCTCCCCCTGCACGCCCTCCACCGCCCCCCTCAGCGCCTGCTGCGCCTCCGCCATGCCCTCCGCGTCCGCGCTCGCCTTCTGGTACTTCTGCAGGGGGGAGGGGGGGGAAGGCGGGGGGAGGGGGAAAGCGCGGGCAACAGGGGGCAGCACGAGAGGCGGAGAGAGGGAGAGAAGGTGGAGAAAAAACGAGGGAAGGGGGCAGAAGGGAAGGGAGGAAGGCAGCGCGCGAGAGATGAGAGAAGCGGTATTGTGGCAGGAGGCAGAGGAAAGAGGGAAGAGGGAAGAGGGAAGAGGGAAGAGGGAAGAGGGAAGAGGTAAGAGGGAAGAGGGAAGAGGGAAGAAGGAAGAGGGGGAGGGAAAAGAGGAGGGAGGCAAGAGGTTGAAGGGGAGGGGAGGCAACGGGAGAAAAAGTTGAGTGAAAGGGGTGGAGGGGATGGGGAATGCGAGGGAAAGGATGTGAGGATCAGATGAGGAGAGGAAACGACGTTGACAAGGAGGAGTTGGGGGGGGGGGGGGTAAGGGAGGAAGGGTTGGCAAGGGAAATTCGTTGCTTTGTAAGGAGCAGGAAAAGCCAAGGTTTAGTGTTCTCGCTTCCTCTCACCCTTCCCCGTTCTTCCTCCTCCCACCCTCTTTCCCCACTTCCCCGCTCTCACCCCACGCTCCCCGCCCGCCCCGCCCCCTCTTTCCTTCCCCTTTCACCCCTCCCATCTCAACCCTCTCCCGCCCCACTTCCCGCTTCCCCCTCCCCCTTCCCCCTTCTCCTCCCCCCGCGCGCGCACCTCTTCCGCCTCCAGCAGCAGCAGCAGCGACGCGTTCCGCCCTTCCGCCACCTCCTCCTGCAGCGCGCCCATCGCCGCGTCCAGCCGCGCCACCGCCTCCGCCTGCGCCTGCACCGCGCCCATCAGCTCCGCGCGCACCGCCTCGTTATTAGCCGCCGCCGCCGCTTCGTTATAAGCAGCAGCACCGTCCGCGGGTGCTGCGTCCTCCGCGTCCGAGTCTGCTGTGCCCTCCCCCTCCGCGCCCGCCTCTCCCTCGCTAGTGCTCTTAACGAGCTTCCTATTGTGCCGACGACCCTGATGTACCGCGCAGTTGGGGGAGGGTGACAATGGCGGGTGTGATTATATGATAACAGTTGGCGTGACAAGCAATGACAGGCTTGCGATATCGTTGTTATAGGCCACCTAGCTGGAATGCGTGAGTGTGGTGTGAACCAGAGGCGGTGGTGGTACCTTGCCAGCTGCCTACCGCCAATCAAATCGCCTCACCGCACTCCGCGTTACCTCACCCCACCTCACTGCACCGCACCTCGGACCACTTGCTTGCTCTCTCTCCCCCTCCCCACAATCGCCCCGCTCTCTTCGCCAACGACGACTCGCCAAGACCCCGAGTAAAACGTGACTACAGATAGACAGACCGGTCCAGCCTGACTATACTCCTCGCATGTGCGCGCGTCGCGTATGTCTATCGAGGTGACTTGTAAGTCGACTCGCCAAGACCCCGAGTAAAACCTATAGAGAGACCGGTCCAGCCCAAGCCTCGCATGTGTCTCTCACGCTGTCTTGTGACTCGACTCACATACAACTCGACTCGCCAAGACCCCAAGCTGAGCTGAGCTGAGCTGCTGAGCACGACTCTACACTACACTGGGGTCAAGCCCACGTCTACCGTGTGAGCGCGTGTGTCTCCCGCCTCTCGCTGAACGGCTGCGCGCGCTCTCTCTCTTATTTAACGGGGCCACCCTCCTCCTCGCGCATTACGGTCGGCTCTTCACACCAAACTTAACCTCACTCCACTTCCTTGCACCTCGCTCCACCGCTTCGGCAACGGCCAACGCAGCTGTCGCTCTCGCGCCAGGGTTTGCTCCGCGAGGCACCGCCGAAACGTCGACGTCGTGCGGGGTGCGCGCGCGCTGCGTAGCGTAGCGTCGCGTGGTGAAAATGCTCGCCTTCACCGTGTCCCGAGCCGACTTTAGAGTCGACTCAAAAAGCGTGTCCCAAGTTGGGTCGGCCGGCGATGGCGCGGGGCCAACTCTTGGGCACGGGGCGAATGGAGCGGCACTGGTCGAGGCTACTTGCGCATGTCTTTTGATGAGCTTGAGTTTGGGGAATCACAGTCGGCGCGCTTCATTCGCACTTGCCTTGCTTACTCGCGGCTGTGCGCGTTTGTTCGTTCTTTCTCACCTGCTGTTTCGCCAGCTGTTTCTGGAGCAAGCTGACGTGGCGCTCCAGCTCGGCGCGCTTCTGCTCCGCCCCGCGGAGATGCATCACGAGCGCCTGGAAGAGAACGGGGGAGATGACACGCGGAACAGTTAAGATGACGCGACGTACGCGATGTGGCGATGACGGAGAAGCCGTTTCAATTCACGGAGCCGCGGCATGATGCAGGTGGAAGGACGGAATGCGGCGAGCGGTATAATGCGGTCGAGCACGGTTCACGCGACACGCGACATGCGACATGCGACACGGAACGAGTCACATCCACCATGTGCGTGCATTTATTCGCGAGTATGAGAGAAGAGAGGAGACCGAGAGAGCCCTTTTCTTGTAGAACGTATCCCCTCCCAATAAGAGAACGCGAGAACGAGAGTGCGTGAGAGAGTGTTTGTGTGACTTAGAGTGAGAGGAATGGTAATACTGGGCCCAGAGTTTAGCGGGACGTACCGCGACGCCAGAGCCGACAGCGCCAACTAGCGCAACTAGCGGAAACGCGCCAATCCCCCCTGGAAGCGAGCGCTTCCCGCGCTGATCGCTGCGCCCTGCGCTATCCCGTGATTCCGCCGACGCCGCAGAAAACTGGCGGCTCTCCGCCATCGCGCTGGTTCCCGCGCTGGCGCCACCCGCGCTCCTTCCGCTCGACTGTACCGCGGGCGCTGCCCCGCCCCCCCCGGATCTTCCGCCCCCGCCTGAGCCTGGGCGGAACTGATTGAACATGGAGGCGGGGAATTAACTACGAGGACACTCTAAGAGAAACACTTCTGTTTCTTTACTGCGTGGAAGGAAAGCGGACGGTTCCTCAATTGGGCTTTCTAAGAGGCCGCGACCTGAGTCATAGCTCTGTAACGGTCTCGTCTGCTCGCACGTTCTGGTTACACGAACCAGCTAAGAGAGTTGTTAAAACAACTAAAACGCTGACTAGCGGAAGCTTAGAGTGAGGGTGGAGCTGACTAGCTAAAACGCTGAAGCTGTAAACCAATGGATGTAGAATGCAGGCGTCTGCCACCAAAAACAGCCCTTACTCTGGAGACCGAAGCGTAATATGGATGATCCCCTCTTGAGTTTCACGCCACAACCACAAAAGCCGTAGGCTACCTTTCGGTATCAACCAAACCCAATCTGCTGGGGGGGGGGGGAATGCAACAAATGTACTTTGCGCGTGTGCGTCGTCCACCCACATCTCAAGTTAGTGGATATGTGGCAAGGGGGGAAGCGCACAGCTGAGCTCAGTTTCAGGGACAAACGGGTCTCGTAGTTCTGCCTGACCGAAGTTTTAGGACCCAAAAGCCTTCTCCAGCATCGAATTGCGTGTTTACAAAACTGCACTACAGTATCAGTTCAGCCACCTCACAGGTGAGAATCAGGGTGTATTTTTCAAGAGTAATTACCCGGAATGAAAAAACATTAAGAGTTCGCGTTGGGCTCGTTCCAGATTTTGAGCGGGTAGAGTTATCGGGATTTCCGGAATTTATAGAAGTGGCGCTGCGGGGGGCTCCGGGAAGATCAGAATTCGCTAGGGGGGCAATCCGGTTGCAACTGCCAAGAAATCCCCCCCCCCCTCCCCCCCTCCCCTTCCCCCCTCCTCGCACCCAGGGTGGCAGAGACATTTTTCCGGCTAAGTCCCCAACTTTCAGAAACAATCCCACGGAGCCCCCGAACCCAGGAAATTCGGCTAAGTCCCTCACACACATAACTCCCACACCAGCAAAACTCAGAAAAATCGGCGAAGTCCCCAACGTCCAGCAGCATTCCTTAACTCAGCAACCAAGCAAATATGGCGAAGTCCCCCACACACTGACATACCGTGCTACTCCCACCTGCACCACCCGAAACCCAGAAATTTCGGCTAAGTCTGTCACAGTCAGGAACATTCCTTCCTCAACCATAGTGGAATTCGGCTAAGTCCCTCCCAAACAGAGATAGTCCTCTTACCCACACCCACGAAACATTGCAGGAACATTCCTGAATTTACCCTATAACATAGAGTAATTGGCTAAGGCTCCCTTAAACCTAGAGAATTTTACACAGCGAGACTCCTCCCACCCAGGATACCCTAAACCTTGAATATTTGGCGTCCCTCACAGGCAGGAAAATTCCTCCTACAGCCCCGCACGCCCACGGAGCTAGGAAAATTTGGCTAAAAACGTTTAGCCATGTTCCCCTCCTCCCCCTTCCCGCAACCCGGAAAGTTGCGAAGGTTGCTGACACATATTCTACCCTACTTTAGCGGGTTTGTCATAAAACTAGCGGAGGAAATTCACACTCTTAACATAGCAAGTCCAAAAGTATTCTCTTTTTCTGGCACTCCGCAAATGTTACCCTGTTTGGACCTTGAACATCTTGACATGTCCGAGTCAATGTTTGCTGTAACTAGGCTAAAAGTAACTTTGTACCCGAATCTGGATGAAACAGAAATAGACTACCCTGAAATCCGGACGAATCAGGGTGCAGGGGAGTGCGGAATCCGGGAGAAACAGAGTTGCAAAAAACCTTAGCGTGAGCCCTGGTGAGAATGGGAGAATCTTGCAGGTGTGGGTAGCCAGGGACATACAGTACCAGCTGTTTGCACCATAAATTAGGCATGCCTGAAACAAATCATGCTTCGGTCCGCACCTTGTGCCAACGTTGAGGAGAGCGAGGGAGTAAGCAAAGATTCACGGCGGCTCGCCACGTGCGCCACGCACGGTTCGCTGTAGCATTCTGAACCTGACGCACCGCGATTTCCGACAAATCGCAAACATCGCACAAGCTGATTCTTGCCCAGGACGAGGGTGCAACCACATCTTGTTGGGCGTTGTTCGTGACGCACGGACCCGTTTGCGACGGCTGTCCACCTGTCCCCTGCATCCAGGTGCGCGAACCGCGATTCATAGTGGATAGGAATGCTTCGATAGAATCGTAAACGTTTGCAATCTCTGGCTTCTATTTCTTGAAACAATTCCTTCCTCATAGACGTTAAACAAAACATGCATGCTTTCACTGTTTAGCTATAAGGAGGCATTGATGCTGTTTGTTGGGCTGATAATAGCCCTAGATTCTTTTCAGAAAGATAAGACCTTGTAACAGAGTGCTTGATAGCACAGCGGAAGTCTTGATTTGAACCCTTGTACTGGTATGTGAGAACAAGTAATTAATTATAGCAAAGGGATACAAGGTTTTTATAATAATACAAGAGAATATGAAGAGTCTAAGAGCGTGTTCCTACCAGCCTCTTCCCAGGCTCGCGTGCTACAGTGTCCCAAATTTTGACGCGAAATGTTTCAGTGAGATTCCGCGAAGCACGAAGTGCGAAGTGAGATTCGGCTTCCTGAGATTCAGCCTCACAGCTAGACTGGGCAACAGACAAGGAACGGGTGGACCTCCACGAGATGGCACCTGCACCAAGGCTAAAGCAATAGCCCTCGGAGGACCTGGGAGTCTCGGCGTTGTCTGCCCAAGAAGAGTCGGTGTGTCTGGTAAGGACCACTGGTCTACGTCCTCCTAGCACTAGCCCCATGCCTGATGTACTTGCTAGATAACGCAAAACCCTCTAAGCGGACGACCAGTGCTGTGATCCGTGCCTGCCCGGAGCCACAAAGCGAGCCAGGATGCTGAGAGGGCATGCGAGATCTGGACGAGTGCAAGTTATCAGGTACATGAGGCAACCCACCAACTATGCGTAGGGACCACAAGGCTCTACAGCCTCATCTGGGACTGGGGCACAGAATCTGTGGTCTACTCGCAGAGGGGTGGGCTGTGCGGAAGAGAACTGAAGGCCGAACCGCTGAAGGACCTGGCGCACCAAGTGTGACTGTGAGAGAGTGATGGTGCGCGCTGCTCTGTCCCTGGAGATCTGTAAGCCAAGGTAACGGCGCAGCTCTCCTAGGTCAGTACAGGTGTGTCTCCTCAGCAGCTCGGCCTTCACCAAGGCCAGCGCGTCTCTGTCTGCAGTAGGAAAGGTCAGGTCGTCTACGTAGACAAGGATGTAGAACGGGGTCTGGCCGGAACAGACGAAGAGCGAGGGGTCTGCAGACGAAGGGAAGAACTGCAAGTCAGCAAGTGTAGAATGCAGCGTGTCGTGCCACTCGGTGCCAGGGGGGAAGGTACCAGAGAAGCCCTTGGGGCGGCGCAGGTAGATCTGCTCGTGTAGACTGCCCTGGAGGAAAGCTGTGGAGAAGTCGAGGGAGTGCAGCTCGTAGTCACGCTGTGCTGCTACGTGTAGTACTGCCCGAAGAGTAGTCATCTTTGGGGTCGAGGCGAAGGTCAAAAAGAAGTCCACCCCCTCACGCTGACTGAAGCCCCGAGCAACGTAACGCGCCTTGAAGACAGACGACTCTCCAGGAAGGCGCTTCACCTTGAAGAGCCACCGGCCATCGACTGCGTTCACCCCAGGTGGGGGAACTGCGTCGACGAAAGTACCGGTGGATCTCCTAGATGCCATCTCCTGCTCCTTGGCAGCTATCCACTGAGAGGCCTTGGGTCCCGAGATGGCCTCAGCATAGGTGCGAGGGGTTGGGATGTCGAGGGAGTCTAGGTCACCCTCAGGGACTAGTAGCATGGAACAGAGATGGAGAGCGGCCTCAGACAGGAAAGCGAGCTCGAACTGTCTGTCCTCGAGGACGTCACTGCCAAAAGCAGCAACACCCCCGACGATCAGAGGGCAGGCAGGGCCAGAGACCAGAGCGGTGGCTTAGTCCAGGTGGCGGGTAGCGGCAAAGTCAGTGACGGCAGCGACAAGGGCAGACAGGCTCGAGACAGGAATGGATGGGTCGGTAACGAGAGAGGCAAGGACATGAGCAACAAGGGGACGTGCAGCACGGAGGAAGTCCGAGAACGGAGGCGGGGCCACAGCAAGTGACGACAGGGGAGGAGACGGGAGGAGAGGAGGAGCACGAGACGCGTGAGAGCGAAGCAACATAGGGTGAGAACGCGGAACAGGGGAGGTAGGACGAGTACGAGACGGAGGACGAGACTAGAAGTGAGACGGAGGAGACGGGTCAGGAGAGAGGGGAGGAGACACAGGAGGAGACACAGGAGGAGAACAGGGAGGGAAATGAGCCGAAGAGGAGTCTGAAGGAGGAAACACGAGGCTGTGGACCGGCAGAAGAGGAGGCGGTGGCAGCGGGGGAGGCAGCGACGGGCGGTCAGGGGAAGGGAGTCCGAGGAGGCGAAGAGCGGACACCGGCGGCAATGGCTGCAACTGCTGCCCTACTCCAACAACAGAACCTCTAGCGACAACACGGCGCCCTACGGGAAGCCCCACGCTAGCACCCCCAGAGCCCGCTCCAGAACCAGGTCCAGCCCGCTCCCCAGCACCCCCAGAACTCACGAACCCCTGCGGCGGTGACGACGGCGGCTGTGGCTGCGGCGGCAGCGGCGGAGGCGGCCGTGGCTGGGACAGCAACGGCGGCGACAGGGGAGGGGAGACCGGGGCAGGGACAGGCGGGGGAAGAGACTCCGCCGAGCCAAAGAGTCAGGGGACTCCTTGGCAAGGAAAACCGAAAGGAGGGGGGTGCCGTGAGATACGCCAGACGGGGCAGGGCGGGGAGGGTGGGCAACAGTGTCGACCGGGGGAGGGGGGGGCACCAGGAACTGGGGGGGAGTGACCGGGGGACCACGGTGGGGAAACCGGTGGTAGAAGGAGACAGCCTTGGCAAAAGTGACGTCGCGAGAGTGAAAAAAATGGTGAGAAGGAGGGTGGAAGAACTGCCAGTGAGACGAGTCGAGGGGGAAACCTAGGAAGACATAGGGGACAGTGCGGGCTGTGAGCTTGTCGGTGCCAGAGGCATGAACGTGAGCAAGGCAGCCCTAGACGAGGAACGTAGACGCGTGACCAGGAGACCCGGTCCAGAGGAGGGTCGTCAAAGCTTGCGACCGCTGAGGGTGCGGCCATAGGTTAAGCTGGTGAGCGGCGTAGCGAACGGCGAATGGCCACAGAAAATGGGGTGCACCGGCATGGATCATGGAGGTACGAGCAACCTCCATGACCAAACCGTTGCGTCTCTCAGCGACCCCATTCTGCTGCGGGGAGTCCGGCAGGGTGAACGTCAAGGTGATGCCCTCCGCACAACAGAAGCGACCAAGGCAGACAGAGGCG